CAAGTATTTATATGGCTGTGTGTACTTCTCACTAAGAGTCATGGTCACAGAAGTTTGAAAATTACTGCAATTCAACTTTGCCTCTGGAGCAGGTTTGAGGGAAACTGAAAATTATTACCTTAAGAACTTCTGGATTGTTTTACTTTACTGCTAGCATCGAAATCCTCGTTTACACATTAGGCTTTAAGCCCTGCCCTGTCCAAGCTGTTGTGGCTTTTAGGGGCCACATGGTAGGATCACAGTGAATATCAACTGAATAAACAGCCTAGAAACTCTGTGAAACAGTAAAAGACTAGGAAGTAACTGTTTCACTTTTGAATAATTGCAAGTAGCTAGAAATGGGGGTTGAAGGGGTGGAGGATGGAGAGGCTTTACAAGACAAGTGTAGGAGCCTCCTGACTGGCAGTATTTTCATTTGCCTGGTGGAAAGGACAAAAGGGTGCTCTTAAGGAAATAAAATATTTAAGGAGTACCTTTGGAAGAAAACCACGAATGATCTATGGAGCTGTAGTTATATATAGCTGTGAATATACATATTCACGAGAAAGAATCATGAAATTAAAATACCCAAACCTGCTTTTGAAGGGAGTTTCTTAAGGCTAAATAAATGGATTGTAACTTGAGGATAGAGTTCTAGATGGCTTTTAAAGAGGTGTGTTTACCCAGTGTCTGGGGAGGAAAATGTGGCTTTCCAGTCTTAATTTTAAGAGGTATAGCCTTTTTGGTCCAGTCATACACTTCATGTATCACCTTTTTAATCAGAGAAGAAAAATAACATCGAAAAAAGCCAGGAGGAAAGACCTTGCTTAAGTTATAACTGCTGATCATTAAGCATTAGCAAGAAGTATACCTAAGTATTTTATTTATTTATTTGTGTACATAAATATTTTTTAAAAGAATTTTCTATTTGATTCTTTTAAACTATAATGTTCATATGAAGTTTAAAATAAGTTCTAGTTTTGATAAGAGAAATCCTAATTTTCTCTGGTGAAACCCATCTATGATGCAAATTTATTTTTTGGACCACATGCTCATGCCAGAAGCCCTGACCAGCACTTGGTGGCAGCATACCCAAGTATAGGTTTTGTCCTAATTATTAGTAAACAAAGAACTGGAAGTCCGAATGTGCAACCTAATCACTGAGATGGCATCTGCCTATAGACCGCGGTTCCTCCCTCGCCTGCTCTTGTACTCCCACCCATTATCTCCTTGTGGACCTTGAGAATCCAAGGGCAGCCCTGTCCCCACTGGGTGTGTGTAATGAGCAAGCCACAGCTGAATGCCTCAGATGGCAAGTCAGAGTGTTCAAGCATCTTCCTTACAGGTCTCAGGCCAGCTGCTTTGAGTGGGAGGCAGATGAAGTGTCCTTTCCGACTTTCAGATGACAAAATGAACTGTTCTCTGCCATCCATCCAAAGGCACAGGACATCCTCAGGCCTTTCTAGAATCTGAGGAGTGGGGAAAGACTTGGAAATCTGAGCTCTTCCAACAACCACGTCCACGTTCACCTCCCCTGCGCCTCAAGAACAAGGCTGTGCGATGCTTCCACAGGGCCAGGCTGGGGAAATGAGGGAAGAGTAGTTGCTGAGCCTTCACTCAGCAACCTGAGAGCTGGGTACCCTCTTATCTCCACTTGACAGATGAGCCAGGGGCTCCATTCACCCAGATGCTGCAGCAGCCTCTCAACCGCTTTCCCTGTTCCCCTCCCCCAAGGCAGAGGGGCCTTTTGAACCCATGCTCAGATCTTGTCTCTCCTCTGCTCAATGCCCTCAGCTCTGCTGTGTGCCACGTACTCCCTTTATCTTTCAGAGTTAGAGCCTGAAGTCTCCGGTGGCCTTTGAGGACCCACATGAATTGCTCCCGCCGCTCTTTGCCTGGATCGCCTGCTTCTCTCCAGGTCCCCTTCCCACTGGCCCTACCATACCACCCTGTCATCTCCCTCTCCTCAATGCTTTGCTCAAATGTCCAATGTCTCAAAAAAAATTATTGTTCAACTATCTCAGTGAGGCTCAGCCATGACTACCCTATTTAAATTGGAAAATGCTAATCTCTTGCCCACATTCCGCCAATCCTTAATTTTGCTTTCTATTCCCCCCGGGACACTTCGGGCCTGTGTAAGTCCCTCAATTTATTATATTTATTCTCCCCCAACTCTGGCCCCACTAGGATGGAAGCTCCGTGAGGGCAAGGATTTGGAGCTTTTTTTTTTTTTTTTCAGTTTTATTGCAAAATAATTGATGTACATCACTGTATAAGTTTAAGATGTACAGCGTGATGGTTTGATTTATGTATATTGGGAAATGGTTACCACGATAGGTTCTGCTAACATCCATCTTCTCATAATAGACACAATAAAAAAGCCCCCTCTGTTCTCTCAAACTGGAAGTCTGTGTCTTTTGGCCACCTTCATCCATTTCTCCCTCACCTCACCCTCTGCTTCTGATAGTAGATCTTTTTATATATATATACACAAGTGTCTCCAAGCACCTAGAACAGGGCCCGCCGCATAATAGATACTCAGTAAATATCTTTTGAATAAAAGAGACAGAAGCAGAGGGTCGAAAACACAAAGCTTTGCCTACTAGCTGTTCACCCAGCCAGAAAGCAGTGGTCCCGTCAGCCTTGTTCTTAACCACCAGGCTTCTCTGCCCCCAGACCAAGGCAGACCCGGCCCCCGCCCTCTCCTATCCCACAGATACCAGCTCCCGGACCAGGCCCAAAGGGAGAAGGGCATCTTGTAGACAACCTCTCCCAGCAGGGGTCTGCAGGGTGGGCAAGCTGAGGCCTGGAGTGGAAGGCAAGGAAGTGGCAGGGCCTGAAGAGAAACCTGGGTCTCTCACCCTCATTCAACGTTCAGCCCCTTGTTTGCTGAAAAGCCCCCTCTGTTCTCTCAAATGGCACAGACCCCTTGAGCCCAGAGGTATCCATCTGCCAAGAGGCCTCGGGGTGGCCCCAGACTCCAGCCACACCAAGAAGGGCCACAAAAGTTCAGTCAATACTTTCCTTCATTTTACATATGAGGAAACTGAGCCCCAGAGAGGGCACAGGCCGCCTGGGGCCTCGCACCTGGTAGTACCTGAGTTTCTAGGGAGCGCAGTTCTTCTGGGACCCCTTCCTAGCCTTCTTCTGGATGGGGCAACCCCCTGGCTTCAGGAACCCTGGCCCAGGACCCATGGGAGGTCCTATCTTTACCAGTGTTTCAACGTGGTTCAGCAATCTTTTCTCACGCTGACGTTAGCTGGATAGCGAGGAGTATCTCGTCTGCCTGGCTCTGCCACCTCCTTGCACTTGACCAAGTCCCCTCCTCTTGCTGAACCTCAGATAATCTCCAGAATCCTCTGCTCTTGGCACCCCTTGGACTGGGTCAGCTAAGGCGAACATACCCTTGTCTGTTGCTTGGAGTCGCTGGCCACACTGGGTTGGGCTTTATCCCCAACTCCACCCCAGGCCTCCATGTCCTTGCTGTGACCCTGCTGATCACTTCCCCACCCAGCCTCTGAATGCGGCCTTCCTGCCTCTCAGAGCTCTTATGGGAACTAGCACAAAAGAGAAGGGAGAGAATTGTTTGAGGGGTGTGAGGGCCCCCTCAAAGGCCAGGGTGATAGTCCTTTCTCTCCACTGTCCAGGATCTTAGCAGGGTGCCTAACCTGGGCTTCTCTGCCATTTGCAGTGGACAGTAGGAATGCGACATCACAGGGGAGGCCCAGCCAGGGATGCTGGACAAGAAGGAGCTTGTGGGTGAGTGCTTTCCATGTATGGTTTCATGACAGTTGCCATGACAGCCCTGACAAAGTAAGGGCATTATCCCCATTTTACAGACAAGGAAACAGGCCCAGAGAAACCAAGTGTCTTGTTCGAGGTCACTCAGCTAGAGGTGGCAAAGCAGGGATTTGAAACTAAGCCTATCTGGGACTTGGACCACCTGAGAAAATCCAGGTCACCACTGCCACATCCCGCAGAGCTCTGGGAGGTTCACGTACTCTTTGGCGCCCAGCTGTTTATTGTTTATACTTTCTGCTCCCTTCTAAAAGTTCGAGTCAGCTTCCTGGAAAGATGTGTGTGTTAAAGGAATAGCAGAGACTCGAAAGCACAAAGCTTTGGAGGAGGTAGAGGGCCCGGCAGGACTGGGGGTGGGAACGTGTGTCAGCTCACGCTGAGGACTGGGTGGCAATGGTGTCATAGAGACCCAGTGAAGTCACCCAGTTCCTGGGAAGCCCGGCTATTTGCAGATTCCGGCTTTAATGAGCACTCACAAGGTGCTGGACTGAAGTGAGTCAGTCCTTTCCTTCCTGTTTCCTGGGGAGTCCTGGGAATCCTCCCCTTAGCAAGCCCTTTGCTTCCCGCCCAAGGGTCCCTGCGAAGCAATGGAAAGGGAAAGTGCTGGGCTTGGTGTCAGAGACGCGTGGGGCATCGAGTTCGTCCCACTTGGCGATGTGATTTGGCCAAAGGATGTACCTCTGAGCAGCAACTTCCTCGTAGCCGAAATCTGAGCCTAGGTGGCGGCATCGGCCAGAGTCTGTTTCCCCATCTCCTGCCAGTAGAACCCTGATACCCTTTGGGAGTTGCCCCTTCCTCACTCCTAGTCCATATGGTTAAGACGGGGCTGACCCTATCCCCTGGGCTCCAGGATGGGCTGGGACTCAGCCTTACTTATCTCGCCTTTACCTCCTAGACAGTGACCCATGGCAGGAATTAGCCACACGACTCAAGTCAGGCCGAGGAGAGCCAGGCCCAGGACCTTTGTTGGAACTATCTGAAAAGTGATGAGGAGTAGAAGGATGCGCCCCATGCTGGGGCAGTCAAGCTGGAATTTCTGGTGGCCATCTTACTACCATGAGTGGTCCCTGCCGAGGATGTAACCAGCCCAGAGCAGAGCAGATGGGGTGAGACATGACTCCCGATGACGTTGCTGGGACATCATGGTCCAGCTGTGCCTGAAGCTGGTACGCTCTAGACTTATCAGTAAATCAAACCTGAGTTAGATCATTTATAAAACTAAGAATCCAGAGAACCCTAATTTCCCATCTCTTATTGAGATTCCTTTGTAAGCTTGAGAAATTTACATCAAACATTAAGTGCTGCTTCTTACACATGACACAATCATTAACTTTTTTTCACTACAAAAGTGCTTCATTGGAAAGAAAACCTCATCCCTGTTCTTTCACACCATTTTTTTCCTTAAAAGTAATAATAATAATGAAATAAAGTATAAGCCTACTGTTAAAGGAAGAAAAAATGTATCAGGTATTAATTGAGTGCCTTTGTTAAAAGTTTAACAGATGCTCCTGTGACTTACTGTGTGCCAGGCACTCTTCTGAGCCCTTTAACATACATTACTTCATCAAATCCTTATTATCAGATGAGGCATAAAGACGTTAGTTAAGTGACTTGCCCAAGATCAAGTTACAGGCCCTGGATGGAGCCCACACATTCTTTCTCTGGAAAGCCCTCTTTGATCTCCCCAACAGGAAGCGCCCCCTGTTGCTGTTACCCTCCTGCCCTGCCCTGCTCTGCCAGCCCTGCATGCATCCCACAGCCCTCTGGGTGGTAAATTCACTCATCCCAGCTGAGGCTTAGTTCCCACGCAGGCCCATTCACAGTTGCAAGTGAGAAGTCTATAGCCTCAGCCCCATCAGCAGCCACCTGGCCTCTTTCGCTGCTATCTGTCATCTGAAGCCCCTTCAAGGTGCCCTGAGGACACCAGGCCTCAGATGAGGAGTGTTCATGGCGGGGGGCGGGGATGGGGTTGGGACCTAGAAAGAAGGTCCTCATCCCTGGGCAGCTGGAGAACCCAGCACCTCGCCAGCCGCAGGAGGTGTGAGAAGGAATTGGACGGCATCGATGCATCCTAGCTTCTCCCAAACCAGCCATGTGACTGGCCCCTCCCCATGCCTCAGTTTCCTCAATGGTAAAACAAGGAGGTTGGTTAGGAAGAGTCCCCCAGGAACTCAGGGCAGGTCCTATGGGAATGAGAAAGGCAGAAGTTTCTTTACTCATCCAGGAAGCTTTTGGGGTTCTCGATGGCAAGCTGCCTGCTGGACTTTCATTCATGTATTCATTAATTGAGCGCTTATTATGTGCAGGCGGTGTTTGAGGCACCAGGGGTACTTTAGAGAGTGAGACAGGTAGCGATCCCTCTGGCAGGAGTTCACTCTGTAGCTCTGGTTTTGGGAGGCCCCTGTCCATTGCCCACTGGGACTGCAGGCTTTGAACCAGGCCCTTCCACACTAGGTGTGGGGGAGGACTGAAGGCTTGGGGAAGAGAGACATGTCCTCCCTCCAGCTCTGCCCGCTCCTGCCAGGTGACCTTGCCTCTCAGGCATTAGTTTCTTCACCTTCTACGTGAGAAGTTGGACTGGGTGGCCTCGAAGCCTGTTCTGTCAGCCTGGGAGGGAGGCCACCTCTTTGGAGAAAGCTTGCACAGCCATTCACGATTAAACATTAGCCACTCCGTGTCCGTCCCTTCCCGCCATGCCTCATGAATATCAAGCCATAAATGCTGCCTTCTTCGGCCCTCCTCTGGGGCTGTGGCCTCCTGGGAGCGGCCACAGGCACACCTGCTGACTATTTCCCACCTGAAGCTGGGGTCTGGGGAGGGGAAGACTGGAGTCTACGTGTGGGCCTGGGGCCTGGAGTGGGGACACTCAGGCCCTAGCCACCCACCCCCAGGTGGTTTTTCTTGATTACATCATGCATATGCCTCCCTGGATCCTTCCCCGTGGAGTTCATGGACTGGCTTAATGAGCCCCTTGGGTGCCTGCCTCAGGCAGGATGCCCAGCCCTCCTGGTTTATGGGAAACAAAAATAATTCCGAGAAATCGGGGCAGCCTCACTGCACGGAGTGCCCCCACTTCAGCCCCTCACAAGCAAAGAGGGCCAGGCCCAGCTGTCACTCATGTCCAATCCCACCTACCCAGGCATTTAAAATTATGAGCCTGCATTAATTCTGCATTCCCACAGATCCCAGGAACAGGGATGGGTTCTAGCTGAATAGTACTTTACAATATGCAAACAGCTTTCTTCTCATCTTTTTTTTCCCATCTGCAAAACAACTTTGTGAATAGGTATGATTTCTGTCAGGCCCAGCATACGTATGTGAGCACTGAGGCTCCAGGCGATACACCTGGTAAGCAGAGTGCCAAATGCCAGAGTCAAGTCTTCTAACTAAAGCCCAGACTGGTTTCGTGCCCAATCCTATGCTGAACATAAGACTGTTACTCTATATGCCCTGCTCATGACAGACATCAGTAATCAATCATAGGTTGGCAGACATTGCTAATCAATTACAGTGTTCTTTTCTAATAAGCTCAGAGGCAGCTGCAAACTCTTCAGCACAGTACCCCAGGATGCCATCACCAGAAGATTGAACTCACAGTATTTGCCATTCTTTTGATCCCACACCATCAATCTTGAGCCCTCAGGACTCAGGCACCAGCCCAGATGCTCCGGTCACCAGACCACAGGAATGCGTTGTACGTGCAGTTCTTGGACAGGGGTCAGTGGCTCCTCCATCCCCCAAACAGATGTCCCTTCCAAGCACGGTCTCTCTCAGAGATGCAGCAGCCATGCAGGTTTGCCTGGGGCTTCCGAGTCGCTAGGTCTTTAATAGAAGTTTTATAATGGAATATTTCAGGTATCATTATCTATACCCCAAAGTATAGATAATACTATTATCACATAGAACGGTGTTCCCACAGTTTAAGCAACAAAACACCACACATACAACTGAAGTTCTTGTGTGTCCCCCTCAACCCATCTCTCTACATGTGTTTCTCATTCCTATGCATATTTTTATACTTTTAGGACATCTTTATGCATTCACGTTTTACCTTGCAGACATTATGTTGTTCAGATCTTGTTGCCGCTTCATACTTTCATACAATTGGATATTATGGATTTATAGGCATGAGGATAAGTGCAGCTTTGAATCTTCCGTCATACCATAATTGTGAATATCTGTCGAGCCTTCACTTTGCACCAGGCATGGTTTTGGGGACTGTATCTGCCTTAACTCATTTAATCTTCCTGATGGAATTATTGTTATCCCCACTTTGCAGATTTGGAAACAGTGACACACAAAGCTGAAATTATGTACCCGAGTCACATAGCTTGGAAGCCGTGCTCCTGGCTGCTAGACATCACTCTATTGCTGCATGGTCTGTTGAATAAAATTACAGTAATTTACTTATCTGTTCTCCTGTATAAAGCCCGTTGCTTATATTTGCCTCAACATTGGTCTCAGAGGGTTTGAGGTGGTTATGTCATTGCCTGGTTCCCACATCAAGCCTGTGAATGGATATTTGTATCCTTCCCCCAACACTCTTTACAGATGAGGCAACTGAGGCTCAGAGAGGGTCAATCAACTTCTCAAAGCTGCACAGCTCCAAAGTGTCAGAGGTGAGCTGTGAACATGGGCTCCTTCAATTCCAGAGCCCAGAGTCTCTCCCATGTCCCCTATGAGCCCTAGGTCCCCCACTACTTTCTCTTGGTTCTGTCCCTGGCAACCTGCCCTCCTGCCCCCAGAACACCCTCCCCACACCTGGCCTTTAGTCTTCCCTCCTCCAGCCACAGTCTCCCCTCTTCCTTCCAGAGAAGGGGCCCAACCGGAAGGCCAGCTCATGTTAGGAAATTCCAGCCACGTGAGCCAACCCAAGCCAGGGATTCTGAGCAGCCAGTGGCTTTAGAAGAAACTGAAACTTGGCTTGCTGGGGGCGGGGTGGTCACTGGGGATTTAAAGAGCCACCACTTCCTTGGGTCTCCAGAGGGCACTGGGAGGTCACAGCAGCCGAGGGACACCCTGAACCACGTGCGAGCCTCTGCCCTACTGCTCAAGCCATGCACCTCAGTGGGGGTGAAGGGCTGCTGGCTGGGACGGTGAGTACAGGGAGCTGGGGACATGGGAGGAGAAGGGAAATATGCCTGAGGGTCCCCAGTGCCCAGGCGGGGAGAGAATGTGGTCAGATCATCTCGTCCCTGCTCTGTACACATGTGCTGTGTGGCCATGGTTTCTACTCTCCTACCCTCCCTCACCCCCCCAGCCCTGGGCTTCATTTTTCTCAGGGACTGGAATGAGGGCTTTCCAGCTCTCACAGTGCAGATCCAGCCTCCAGGTTAGAACTTGGCCTCTCCTAACCCACCTGTTCTCCCCTCGCTGCTCTCAGGGTAGCCTCTCTTCCCTCCCCAAATTCTCCAGCACTTTCCCCTTGCAGGCTCTGCCCCTCTCCCAGGACCCGGGTACCAGAGGCCACCCCCTTCTCTCACTGGGGGTATTTCCCCCAAGCTCCAGTCCCTTGGTCCTGCTGCACCTGGAATGGGCCTGCTATCGCCGGGGACTTAGGAGCATAATGTTCTCACCTGAGGCCAGGATCTCACCTGAGGTCCAGACACTCAGAACACCCGAGGTCCAGACACTCAGAACACCCCTCCCAGAGAGATCTGTGGGAGGGGAGACTGGGCTGCGGGGCCGCCCACATTCCCTCTTGCCTGACCTTGAAGAGCTCTGGGTGTTTGGGTTAAATATTCCGTCTAAGTATCATGGTCCCCTAATCTGGGGCCCAGGGGACAGGGAGGGTCACAGCCGTCAACCTTGGAGTCCACGCTCCGATTTCATGCATTTGTTCTCGTTTAGAGCCTCACGACGATGTGAGCCACTTGAAGGCAAGGATTTTTGCCTCTTTCGTTCACTGTTGTGTCCCCCTAGCTCAGTGCCTGGCATACAGTAGGTGCTCAATAAATATTTGTTGCATAGTCGAATATCAGCTTGGGGCCTGAATTAAGCATGGGCTCATGGAGCCAAGTCGGATCCGGGCCCCGCCCTCACAGATGGAGCTCATGGCTAGGGAAATCAACACCTTGTCTATGGAAATAATCGCAATGGGAATGACAGCAGCCAACCCTTATTGACTCCTGGCTCTGGGCTGGCCCTGGGCTGCCCGCTCTGTGGCCTGTGACGAAGGTGCTGTGATGCTTTCATCGAATGAGTGAGGTGCTGGGTTCAGAGAAGTGAATGACTTGCCCTTCGGGGACTTGACTCGGGAAGGGCGCGCCTTTGCAGACGGCCAGGACACATGGCCCAAGCCCCCACTAGGACCTGAGCCCCCTGCTTTCGTCCTGCAGGACACCAAGGTGCATGAGAGGCAGCTGAAGAAGAAAGAGAAGAATCGGGCCTCCGCCCAGCGCAGCCGGCAGAAGCACACTGACAAGGCAGACGCCCTGCACCAGGTGGGAGCGCTGCCCTTCTGCCTCTGCCCGCACTTACTGGCCCAGTGGCTTCTTTCCCATCTGCCTATGAGCGATTCCCCCCACACTGCCGTGTATTCCCTGGTGGCTGAGTTTGGGAGCTAAGACTTGGAAATTCCTGGGTGTTGAGTGCAGACTGTGCCAGATACACACTGGGTTCCAGTGACAAAAGGTGCGTCGTCCACAGCCTGCCCTGCCCTCTAGGTGCTCCCCATCCAGGGAGAGGAGAGGAAGTGGAGGTCAATTGGGAGGACCCGGCGCAGCAACCGGCTGAGGTGCTTGTGAAAATGCAGACCCATGCCCCTCCCCCTGCCCCAGGTCCCCGCTCAGGGGCCTGGGGAGCTGCACTGTGACCACCCACCCTGCCTGTCGGGGTTCTGATGTAGGTGGCCAAGACCACACTGAAAAACCTCTGGATCAGGGTTAAGATGAGCTGGCTTTAGAGTCCCAGCTGTGGCACTCATTAGCTGCGAGTCACTTCTTTTGCTGAGCTTCACGGTCCCCACCTGAAAAATGGGACAATAATGCCTGCCCACTGGCAGGACCCATGTGGAGACTAAAGAAGTGGAAGGAGCCCAGTGGAGTAGGGGAAGGCTACACAGGCACTCGCCTCTTGACCTTGAATGGTAACCTGACCCTTGGAGCTTCCCTTCCTCTGTGCAGAGAGAAAGGACACTATCAGTTCAGTCCCAGGGGGAGGAGTTAAGAGCTGGAGTGCAAACATGGTAATCCTTCTGGTGATGATTGACTCACAGCCCCGTGGGCCTGCCTACCGGAAGGCTCTGCGCTCTCCGCAGCACCCACCCCCACCTATCCGCCCTTTTCTCCTAACTTCCCATACCCCGTTCTCCCTGGTCCTTCTCCGGCCAGGCACATCTGGCCTCAGGGGCTCTGTCCTTGCTGTCCCCTCTGCCTTGAGACAGCAGTCCAGTCAGATCCTCACTTGTTGCTGGCTGTTTGGTTTAAATGTCACCTCCTCAGAAGGGCCTTTCGAAACCCTCTGATCTAAAGAGACCTCTCTCCCCGTTACTCTGCTTCATCTTTCTTGTTAGCACTCACCTCCTGCTACATATTTAGATGTTGTTCATTGCTTGTCCCCCTCGCCAGGCTGTAAGCAACACGAGGGCAGGGAACTATTCTGTCCCCACTGTTTCTCCATCGCTGGCAATAGTGCCTGACAAACAGAAGGGACTCAGTAATTCCCCGTGGAGCGAATGATAGAGTCAGCACGAAGGGTCCTAGGAACATAGTGGGACAACAACAGGTAGTGGCATCAAGGGGATCCAGAGGTGAAGTCTGAGCTGGTCTTGAAGGATGAATAGGAGTTTTCTAAAGGGGTGAAGAAAAGGCATTGCAGGCAAACGAAATGGTGTTGGCACGGTCGTGAGAGAGCAGCACCCTGTGGACTGTGAGAGCGAGAACTGGCGCCAGGGTGGCTTCGCGCATGCATTTATTCATTTCTTTCAGAAATGTCTGCTGGGTGTCTCCTGTGGGACAGGCACAGTCCTAACTCTCGGAGATACAGTCGTGAACACAGCAGACAAAAGCCCAGGCCACCTTCCCCGGGGTTCATATTTTCATGGGGTAGCTGGGCAGACAAATAAATGACCCGTGAAGTGTTTGGGGTGTCAGATGGTGATAGTGCTATGGGGAAAAATAAAGCAGGGGAGAGGGAAAGGAGCGGGGCCAGTGGGCTGGCGGAAACCTAACTAGGTTGGCCCTCTCTGAGCGGGCAGCGCTTAAACAGCCTGAAGGTGGCAAACGAATGAGTGAGTGAGCGAGTGACTCGATTTCTGGAGGTGAACTGAAGTTTTTGAAAAATTTAAGAGAAGGGTGACCTAATGACACGTTTTAAATGTCATTCCACAAGCCTGGGTTGGGGTTGCTGGTGGCTTTGAGGTCTGTTAGAACTTCGAGTCCATGGCCTAACCAACATTTTAATGTGAAACGCCCTTGCAGCTTCTTCTTTGACAGAGTGTCCACACGGGGCGGGGTGGAGGAGGGAACCAAAGGAAGTCATTCAGCCCCATGAACTGTGGAAATCGAGTTCTTTCTGCATTTTCCACTACTGTGGTCATCGTAAATGGTTGTTTAGAACGGCACATT